GAGGGACATGATCTGACCTACTTTTGAAAAGGATCCTGCTGGCTGCTGCGTGGAGTATAGACAATTAGGGGCTAGGGATTGAAGCTAGGAGACAAGGAGGAGGTAGCAGCAGAAACCTGGGCTGGGGACCAGAGTGGGGAGAAGGGGCAGGATCCTAGATATATTTTGAAGGTAGAAGCAATGGAATTTCCTTTTGGTGTAAACCTTTCCAGGCCTTTTCCTATGACTGCTGTTTTTTAAAATCTCTTACAGGTAAGGGGCTTCTGGGCACAGCAGCCCTTTGGTTTATATCTGGTGTCTGAGATTTCTGATCTCACAGAGAAGTGGCCTCAGCAGCTCAACCCACGTTTCTGTCCTCTTCTCATTACGGGGACCTGGAGGGTTCCCAGCGATTTTCTCTTGCCAAGTGTGGCTACTTCCTGCATCATGATCCCTGCGGTAACTTCGTTTTTCAAGCCTGATACTTGGCCTGCTTCGTGCAGAAGGAGGTGGGGTAGGGAAGTATCAGACCTGATGATGTCTCTTGGGAAGCTTCCATCCTGGGTCACAAAAGGAGCTAAGCCTGAGTTTGGATGACAAGAAAAGGAACACTTTTCCTTTTCCTCCCTAGAAACTGACCGAGGGAGACAGAGAGGTGAGACCAGGGTTGCCCTTTCAGAGTTTATGGGCATAGATCTCAGAAGACCACTAGGACTGTTACCCCATCTCCTATGCTGCCTCCTCCAGGCAGTCTTCCTAATAGCTGATCACTCCTCCTCTGTGCATTGTACCTGTTTCTACCATTGTACCTGCCACCATTAATAATGTATCTCGAGGGGAGGCTACAGCTCAGTGGTAGAGCACCTGCTTAGCATGCACAAGGTCCTGGGTTCAATCCCTTGTACCTCCATTAATAAATAAATAAATGTAATCACCCCCACCCCTGCAAAAATAAAAAAGCAGCATCTCCTGCTAGGTCTGGAGTGTCTTTGGGGGAGGGGAGTCATCCCCACAGTGTCGCCTTAGGGCCGGACACACAGTAGGTGCTCAGTCAGTGCTTAATGAAGTGAGCAAATGCTGATCAATTGTGGAGCTGACCAAGCACAAGCTCAGGGCCCCTCGCTTGCGCGGCCCCTCGCATGCTCACAAGACCATAAGACTCTGTAAAATTCACAAAAGTAAGCTATGTGTATATTTTCTTAAAGAGGGCCTTCTCCCAAGTTGCATGAGCTGCAGGCCCCACACAGGTTGGGCCCCGCCCAGGGAAGGCTCAGGGAAGCAGGTTTCAGGGCTGGGGTTGGAGGAGTGGGCTCGTGCCAGTCCGAGGGGGAGCTGATGCATCTCTAGGGGCCAGAAGGACAAGGAGCCACCCTGATTTAGGCAGCAGCTGATGGCCTGGGGCCCAGAGGGTTGCAGCTCGCTGGGCAGTCCCACTGCATCGATTCCACCGCCTGGCCCCCGAGAGGGTGTGAACGGCCCCACGGGCCCTCAGGTTTTCCTCTTCTCTTTTTCTCCTCACCTCCATCTCCTCTTGCCCTCATTTCTTTGTCCTCCCTTCCTCGACCCAGCCCAGAGTTTCTCCCGAGGCGGTTGTGGTCCATGGTAGGGGGAGAAATTTTGGGAACCATCCTCTTCCGTCTCTCTCTCTTCCTTTCTGCAATCACCCTCCTCTTTGACATCCCTAGCCTCCCACCCCATCAATACACACCCTTCTCAGACCCCACCACAAAGCTTCAATTCTGCTTCTTCCTGTGTGGCTGAATGAGGTCAGCCCCAGCATCTCTTGTGGGACTCACTGGTTTGACATCTTTGAAGCTCCGTCTTGCCCACAGCGAGTGCAGGAATGAATGAGACTGGATTGTGCATCCAGTCCCAGAGTGGCCACAAGCCTTTGGCTTAGTTATTTACCTCTTCTGAGCCTCAACTGCTTCATGTTAAGATGGGAATCAGAAAGCCTATCCTATGAGACACCCGTGAGGGTCGAGGGAGGCAAGATGAGGGCGGATATTCGACATCCGTCTAGGGATATTCAGGCACCAGCTCTTGTTCTGTCCGGCCAGGATTGATCTTCCTGAAATCCACAACTGTTCCCCAGCCCTGACAGCGTCCCTGGTCAGGGCTGAGCCACCAGGCCCAGGTGTTGAGTCCCGGAAGCCTCGCTGCTTAGCCTCTTCCTCAAGAACTGCCTGGCTTCCAGTGGGTGGATGTTAATCATATTTGCTGTGAAGAGTCAGTCAGTGACTGCCTGACCTATAATTGCAGCCTATTAACTGTGTTTTCCTTTCATTTGCACTCATGAATTTTGCTCTACTTCTCGAAAGCAAATTACAGGTTGGAATCAGAATATTTCAAAGAGGGGGATGAAAAGGTTGGAGCAGAGTGACTGCTGCATAATGAAGTGTCCAGTGATAACGTCCAGGCCGGGCCAAGAGTGTGTCCACTGCTGGCCCACATTCACTCAGCTAATGGGTTCGGAGGCCCGGGGGTGGGGGGACCCCAGGCTGGGCTTCTCTCCAGTGGCCGTGGCTCCTGAGTCTCAAGACGGGGCTGGGCTGGCAGGTGGCAGCTGGAGGTGCCGTGTGGCATGGCTCTCCTGAAGACATTCGTGGGCACTGGCTGGATGCCTGGTCTGCTGGGCTGTTATCTGAGCAAGTTGGGAGGAGGCAGGCTGGAGCAGGGGTGGGAGTATTAATGATTTCTGAGCTAATGTTCTCCACTTCCCATCGTAGCTGGCCCTGGGGACGGGGGAGGATGGGGTTGTCACCAAAGCTGCAACATTGTTCTTTCTCTCTCCATTGAAAAAAGTTGCTGGCTTGGGTGCTCCTTCTTGACCTGGGTAACATCAAAGAATGATAGACTTTTAGCCGTTAAAGTATCTCCGGTGCAATCAGGTGTCATGTCTCCATTTTAAAGATCAGGAAACGGAGGAAAGGAGAAATGAAAGGAGGAGTTTGGCTCAAAAAGCCTGCTAATGACAATCACCATTCATGCAACAAGCACTTATTAAGCACCTACTACATGCCAGGTGCCGTGCTGGTGCAAAGGGAACAGATTTGAAAGAGATGTAGAGCTTTGCCCCAAGAAGGGTCTCTCCTCTGGTCTGAATTTCTAAAGAGGTGTGTCTGGCAGGGAGAGTCCCCAGGCCATGGCTCAGAGGACCTGTGCTCCTCTGGCTCCGAGCTCGGCTCCCTGCCATCTTGGAAAGATGGGCGGACCTCTCAGATTCCTTTGCTTTCCAATCTTAAGGATCGGGGCAGAGTGGCTGGGCTTTCTCTGCCTATTTGCCTTTTTAGTGGCACAAGCGGCCACCCCAAGCCTGGTGCTGGTCCTTCTAAGAATCACAGAGCTGGACCTCAGGATCCTCTAGTGTTGCCACCAGGGTGTTCCTTTGAATTCTGACGCTGGTCACTTCTCCCTCAGCACTGGGCCTGTAATTCTGGGAGCTGCCGCCAGGGGGACGGTGTTGCTGTGTCACGAGACACTGGGCCGAGTTACTGAGGAAAGCAGGACTGGCTCCCAGCCCAGGGGCCTGCTTTGTCTCCAACAACCTGTCTTTGAAGCTTGGATGCCCGAATCCCAGCATCCTTTACCAAGCAAGGTGTGGGAGTGTGCGCGGTGGCCCCACGTCCCAGATCACAGACCCAGAGAAGTGGGCGGCAAGTACATGACGGAAGACAGGCCCCCTGTTGCCCTGGCCCCCTCCCCTACCTGAGAACCTCATTCAATTGACTGATTCATTCCTGGTGACTTCTGTAGCCGCTGCTTCAATGCCTGCACCTTGAACTTGCATTAAGTTTTAATTAAAGCAGCTTCACCGGCCTTGCCCTTGGCTAAATGCAGCTGTGGGCACAGGGCACATAGATATTTAATACTCTGCTTCTCCCCACTGAAGGCGCAGGGTGCCCAAGGGTGTACGGGAGCCATGCCCGCTAGCAGCGATCCGCGCACTCGCTTAAGTGTGCCCACAGGCCCCGAGCGGGAGGCCGAGCAATAACTATTCATTGCCCTGGGTTAAGTGTGCCCAGGGGCACCCGTAAACTCAATGCAGTGATTAGCGATTGCTCCCAGAGAAGGCTGCCCGAGGTCCTGCGGAATGTCCTCGGTCCTAAATATAGCCTCCGTGTGGGGCCTTAAAGGGCACGGTGAGTTTTTGCTTCGCTCTTGATCTGTCTTCCCTTCCTTCCTTAAGCAGGACTTTTCCTTCCTTCTCAAAGCCCAGCCTTCAGGGGCTTCTCTGTCTTCCTCCAGGCTGCAGCGGAGGATGAGGTGTGGGAAGAGTGGGATGCTTTGGTGGTGGCAAAGGCAAACTCCAAAACCTCTCCATCCTCTCACCAAACCTTAAGCATTGGGCCCGTTCCTGCCTCTTCACTCCCCAAGTGAAGGCGGCACCTCCAAAGACAAGGAAACAGTGGGGATCATTCAAGGGGCTCCTCCTGGGCTGTCGTGAGCCTGTTGCCAGGAGGGGCTCTTGGCCAAGGGGCAGCAGAGCTGGGGATCTGAGAAGGCTCAGCTGGCTGGGGTCTCCTCCCAACCCCGCTGGCTTCTTTCTGCTCCTGGGAGCCCCTCTCTGTCCCTCCATTTGGAGGAGTTGGGGGTGGTCTTCGGTGGGGGCATCGTTGAGGCAAGTCAGCCCCTCTGGCCTCAGACTTCCCCACCTTATACTGGGACAGGGGTCAGATGATCTCCGAGGGGCCTTCTGCTGGTCCGAGACTCCCCCCTTGTGCCAAAACCTCCCTGCCAAGGTCTGAAGCAAATGCAAAGACGGGTTTGGAGCAAGTAGAAGAAACTGAGAGGAGCAGGGTGGAGGGTGTGGGCTGCAGCAGGCGCTCTGGGGAAGGTGCCCTGCTCACACCATCCCCTTCCCCTCCTCTGTGCAATGGGGGAATGGTGCCCCCCATGGTGTGGCTGCAAGGCTCACAGGCCATACGGTGGTGACCGACTGTCCCAGTTTGCATTGGACTGTTGCTGTTTTGGTACTAAGTCCCACACAGGGGGACCTGCTCAGTCCCTGGGAAACGGGGATGGGTGGTCACCTCACGGTACAGTGACTTTGGTGAGCGTGCCGACCCTTGGAAGCACTCCCCCAGACCCTTACTTGTTGGATCTGAAGAGGAAAGAGAAAGGGCAAGGGAGAAATGGGTGAAGGACGGGGGTGGGGGTGGGGGAGGCTGGAAGATAACTGGGCGAAAAGTGGGTCCTGATGGCGTCCCTGCCACACGCACCAGCTCTCAGCATCACCAGCTGCGCCCGGGACCCCAGCTGCCCCCTTGGCCAGGCCCAGGGCGGCAGCTGAGGCAACGACATTTCCCTGGGTCTGTTGACACTCGAGTCTCAGAACATAAATGATTTTCTTGTCTTAATGAGCAAACAACCCGGCTGCACGGCTCTCTCGCCGGCCCCCTGCTGGGGGAATTGCCAGCGCTTCTGCGCTCTGGCAGAACTGTTTACTCTCACCTTTGCTTACCACTTGCCTGGAGGTGTTGCTTCCTCTTTGTTCTGCAGGTCTCCCCGCCCCACCCCTGGGATGCACCAGTGGACAGGCGGACAACTTTCTGGAAGGTTCTGCCAGACCTGGTGCTTGGGGACACTCCAAGGCAGGTTTTGACTTCTCTTTTCCTTTGGAGTGGGTTAGTGGACAGTGCCAACTCTGCTGGGCCCATGTCTTGGCAGCTGAAGCTGGAAGCCTCTCCCTGGTGCCTGGGAGGGGTCCTCAGTTTTGGGTGGGATGCTGGGCAGGAGGCCTCTGAGGTCCTTCCCATGCTAAGATTCTCTGCACAGTCTCCAGTGATGGGGAGCTCATCCTTTGCAAAGCCACCTGTTTCCATATGGCACAGCGGTTTCGCTGAGCTTTCCTTCTGGTCCTCAGTCTGTTCTCTGCAGTCCCCGGGGAGAAGCCCGTCCCTTCTCCGTTTCACATCCCTTTGGATATTTGAAGTCAGTGAGCTTTCCCTTCTTCAAGTCTTCTCCTGAATTCCTCCTACTGTCCTCCTAGGATAGGGGCTGGGGCCCCTCTCTGCCTGCCTCCCACCCTCCAGGCACCTGCCTTTATTCAAAGCCCCGATCGCCAACGTCCCACTACAGCGTTGCAAAGGGAACAGAGATCAGGACTCCACCTGGGCAGAGGGTGGGTCGCCCGCTGGCCTTGCTTGTAGGAATAGTGGCGCACTCGTTCCTTCAGCCACGTAACGTACCTACTATGTGCCTGGTGCTTCCGCAAAGGGTCTGTTCTGCTGGTGCCTGGGGAGATCACGTGCCTGGTTTGCATCTCTCCCTGAGTGGCCTGCTGCCCAGCCTCGTGGTCCCGCCCATCTTTCCTTGGCCCTGTCACCTTCCTGAGCGTCCCCTGAAGTGCCTTCTCCTTGACCCCCTAGTGACCCTGTCCTTTGGGCCAGATTGTTTATGAATGTGTCCTGCTTCTCCAGACCTCCTGGCTGCTGTCCCTCCGAGGGGAGCTGGTGGCTTCTTTAGAAGATGCCAGCCTGATGGGATTATCAACACCATGACTACCACGTGGACACCACCACCACACCCTCACCGTCCAAAGCCCAAAGTGAAACTTTGTCCAGAGGCAAGATATCAGTGGTGGGGAGCAGCCTGGCCAGGCTTGGGGCCTGGAGGCACAGCACCCTCGCGGAGGCTCCAAAGAGCAGTTTGCTGGCACTTCCGTGCCAATTCACATGTCCACCTGGAGACCGGACAGATTTAGGCAGGCAGCTTCGAAAATTGGGCTCCATTAGCGTCAAGTGCTCCGCACGGCAGATGAGGGGCTCCTGCAATCATGCATTCAGCTCGTCCTGATCAGGGTGGCAGGAGCGTAATTACCAGCTCTTTAAATAGCCCAAAGTTGCCGTGTAAGAGAAGACGGCTCACATGACATTTGCTCTGAGCCCGCTACCTGCTAAAAATATCCCGGCTAAATAATATTTCCTGGTTGCATTGGAGCAACAGTCCCTAACCTGAGCTCTGTGACACTTGGGGGTTCAATCAAGAGGCTTCTCTGAATGTGGGAGGGAGGCCCTGTGGAAGGAGTTTGCTTCTGGAAGGAGCAGTTTTGGAGGCCATGGGGAGCCTTCCTCCCTCAGCAAGTGCTGGCCACCCCGCGGGGCTCCGGCCTCCCTGGCTGGGGAGCGGCTACCATGCCTACTCTTTAGGGGCCCTATGTCCACCCTTTCCTGCTTCATCACTCTCTTATCCTCTCTGTGTTCCTCCCTCCCCTGGGCACCTTATCCCCATGGTCCCAACCCCACCTCGCCTCTTCTTAGCCCCAGTCTTGGCCATGCATTCCTGAGTTGCTTGGGACAAAGAGATCTTTGCTCTCCGTGGGGGATATGAGTGTGTGTGGAATGTGGCTGGGATGTAGAGTGTGCTTGGGACCCCTGAGCTAGGCCCTGTATGTGATCGCTATTTCGTTCACCTTGGGGTGTAATACAGAGGGGCTTGGAGTCTGGAGGACCACTTCCTCCCTCCAGGGAATTTAAATTCTAGGAAACTCTGCATGCAGAGCTAGGTGGATCAAAGGCTTCATTCCGAGTGGGTTTATTAGAGATGACTAAGACTTGACATTTGTAGAGAATTTTATCATGGACCAGGTTTCATGATGGGGCTCTGGGGAGTTTAGGGCATTGGGGATGGTCTCGTCTGGCCCCCAAACATCTCTTTCCTTATTCATGATGCTTGAAATCCTTTTACTTGGAGACAAATGCTTTCATTTAGCCACTGGCTTAAAATGTTCCCGTGAGAGGGCTGACACAACGAAATTCTTGCTAAAGTGTAAACAACTGATACAAGCTTTATTTCTTAAGAGCAGCTTTGGTAATGGAAGGGGCAGCAGGCTGGGTCACCGAGCCGAAGACAGTCTTGGCAGAGACATTTCTGCAGCTTTCCAGGGGCAGCCGCGTTCTTCGCATCTGCTTCCTTACGGGCCTTTGCAGATGGCAGGATCCGGGATGTTTGCGGGTGGCCTCTCCTTTTCTTCCTCACCAGTGCAGCCACATTCCGGCCCAGGCGGTGACACCAAACAGCAGGTCATCTCATGTCACAGATCTGGAAAGTGCGTTGTGCTGGCGATGGGTGTGGCCCCTGGCTGGGGTCCTGCTACCACCCTTTCGTCCATGTGCCTGCAAAGTGTGTATTTTTCTGTGTCACGTGTCCTTTCCCATTCCAGTGTCATCCCAGCCAGCGTTGAAGGTTTTAGTTCACATCCCAAAGCAGAGACTGGGTCTGGTCAAAAGAGGTTCCCACTGGGAGGAAAGCCTGAGCCGAAAAGTCCTCTGAGTCCAGCAGTCCTGTACCTTCACAGTGACTGAAAACAGGAGCTTGGTGGTGGTCAGCGTCCCCGCGGCTGGGATGCTCCGGGTCCAGGTCGGGGTCTTGGTGATGGCATTGGCTGTCCTGTCCCACTTGCGGGCCCCTTCTCCTTTGGGCCACTGATGCCACGTGGAGTCAGAGATGTGAGACCAGAACTGTGGGGCCAGCAGAAGATGGACCTTTGCCACTTATACACCTGAGCCCTCGCACTTCGGCCTGGGTGGCCCCACAGGCAGACAGCCACACGGTACAGGATGCACCCTGTTTTGTGCAACCAACTCCTCGTTGCCCCACTGCAATGCCAGGAGCCCCAAGGAGCCCTGGGAACGCAGGCTTTCTAGGGTGGTCCTGAGCCTGGAGTTTGCCGAGATGGCTTCCCCACCCTCTGGACAGTGGAGAGCTTCTTCCAGTGTGTGGGTGAGCGTCACCAGGAGGTTGTGCCAGCTGGCCCTGTGGTTCCTTCTCCCATGACAAAGCTTCCTTTCCTGGGCCTGACAGGTCCCACAACCAACCGAGGAAGCAATGGGGGTCAGGCACACTGGCTGGAACTGGCACAGGAACAGGAGTGCCATGGAAGCCACGTGTGATGTGGTCCCTGGCTTTAGAGTCAAACTGCCAGGGAGGGAGTGGGGGGGCACACCAACTTTCTAGCTAGCTGCAGGACCTCAGTACACGGCTTAACCTTACTGAGACTCTGCAAAATGGGAATAGCGGCACCCGTTGTGAGAACTGGAGACGGTGGGAGTTAAGAGCTTAGTGGAGTTCCCCACACGAGATGAGCCACTTCCGTTTCGATCGCCCAGCTCTCTGTGTGGGCTCTGGTTCCTCGGGTCACTTACCGGATGGAGTAGACTCCTTGGCAAAGAGCACTACGCGATGCCACTTATTTCTTAACCTAAGACAAACCCTCTTCTAAACGCACTGTGTGTCTTCCACGCCAGGATGCTGGGATTTGCATCTTGAAAGGGGTTTTGGTGAAAGGACCGCTACCAGACAACCTGGAATTCACAAAACCACCAGGAGCAAAACCCACTGAAATACAGCATAAGGAAATACACATAATTCACAAATGATGTCGATCACTTTCATCTTAGACTTCCTAACTATCCTCAATAGAAGACAGACGCGAAGGAGATTTAATTCAGATGTTAATAGCGCAAGAATGCCCCGTTCCCAGGATATGATGTTTCGGTGCTGCATAAAAATGTAATTATATTCAGAACTATATTTAAAGATTAAAAGGGGGACTGCCTACCATCTAGCCCCAAATTCTGAATTAGAAACAAAGGAAAAGGCGGGGTGGAGATGAGTTCTAACAGTCTGCTAAATATGGAAATGTTTCCTGAAAGTTTTTACACATTTCGGCTGTTTTTATTTTACAAGTTTCCTGCGGCGATGACGTTGATTTTGGAAAGGGAGGGCCAGAACTTTATTCAGCAAATATTTACTAGGTATTTGCCGTGAGTGAGGCCCCGTGCGAGGCCCCAGAGGGAACAGAGGCCACCAGATTTGGACCTCGCTTTCAAGTACTGTCCATTCTCAAAGGGGAGAGAAGAAATGTTCAGAGAGTTGTAATGGAGTGCCGGTGGCCTTTGTCCTGGGCTTTGAAGAATGGGTAGGTTCTCGATAGAGACTTAGTAAATAAAATACAAAAATAGCTGGGCAACAGCAATAAGAACATTTTAGGAAGGCTTTTTGGCCTCTCCAGAAAGATTTACAGGGGGAAAGAATGTTCTCGTCCTCGTTTTATTAATGTAATATCAGCAGCCAGAATGAATCTCTCCCCTTGCTGGTCCCCAGCACACCTTCCCTGCACCTCGTTTCTAGGTCTTTCTATTCTTATTACAGTTATTAATGCATGTTCCTGTCTCTCCCTCCAGTCTGTGAATTTTTTACCATCAGGGGCCGTGTCCCGTTCAGCGTTTTACTCTTCATGGGTCTGATCGTAGTGCCTTGCCCTTGGTAAGCACTTATGTCCAGATGCTCGCTAGAGTGAATTTTCACCAGAAATTAAATAAAAAGTTTTAGACAAAGAGCATTTCTTTGTGGTAACATGTGGCTAATATGTTGGAATATTAAGCTTGCCTAAGCAATTGATGATTATAGATTTTTTTTTTAATCTCCTTCCTCCCCACCCAAAAGCGGTTAGAACCTATGGGAGAAATCCTGATTATTTAAGATCAGAGGTGTCAGGAGCCATGGAGGCAATGGAGTGTCCAGCCTAGAGAAGTGAAACCCAGAGGAGGGGTTTTAGCTACAGCTGTTTTACATTTTAAAGCAGGAGTTACTGGTGAAAATGCCCCTAGGGGTCAGGCAAGGGGTATAACCAATGAGGGTAAGAAAACCCACGGCCCAAGTGTAGGATGATGAAGGCTGCGAAGCTCAGTGTCGGAGACACAGACCCCTTTAAAGAGAGCAGCCTGACTTAGCTGGAGCTGATTCCTGCCTTGTAGGGAGGCAGGCCAGTGTGGCCAAACCTTCTGACTTTCCAGAAGAAGCTGTTTATAAAATTTTGTCAGTTAATTTAAAAAATATTTAAAACCCTCTGCGGGCCAAACCAAACAATGTCTAAGGGCTATATTTGACCCGTGAGCCAGAATTTGCAAGCTCTAACCCAGCGCCTCTCAGCTGGCGGTGGATTTTGGCCTCCCGGGGGAAATTTGGCGATGTCTGGAAACATCTTTGATTGTCACAACGCGGGGAGATGCTACTGGCATGTGGCGGGTAGAGGCCAGGGGTGCCGCTGAGCATCCGACTGCACAGGAGCCCTTTCCCACACACGACAAAGAGCGATCTGGTCCAGGATGTCAGCTGGGTTGAGGCAGAGTCTGGTTCTGTGTGGCTCCTGAGGCTGGGCTCATGGATTTGGCCTCAAAATAGGGAATGTCCTGCGGATGAAATCGGCTGGTGACATCAAGCAGAGAGGCAGAGAGTTGGGGCTGGGTGCTCTTTATAGAAAACCTGAAATTCCGTGATTCAGTTTCAAGAAAAGATTTTGATGCCCACATCATCTTGAAAAAGGACTCCAGGTCGAAGGTCTGTGAAATTCAACAAGCGAAGGCAGTTTCTGACTCAGTGCTTGAACTTGACCTCTGAAGCCTCTGTTTCCCTGTCGGTAAAAAGGGGACCCATGTGGCCCCTCCAGCAGGGAATCGGGAGGATTCTGTTTCCTTAGGAGAAGCACTGGTTTCTCTTTCCCTTCTGGGTGGCTCAGGAAGGGAGTTGTCTGCCTCAACTGCCACATTGAGGCCCACTCCCTCCCCACTACCCCCAGGACCAGAGACCCCTCCAGCAAAAATGCCATTTGCTGCCTTTTCCCAGGTCCATACTGCAGGATCAGCTGCCTTCAGGGGCCTCCAGGAGGGGCTTTCTCAGAGCCTTGCCTGTCAGCCTTCACATGGACTGACCGATGGACGTCCCCGGCCCTGTCTTGCATCCATGGTTTCCCCTGAATGGCCCACCCCCATGAGGCAGTGGTGAACCCAGCCAGGCATAAGGCCCCTCTCTTTCAGCATCATTCTTCCAAAGGGAGCTGCACTCTGACCTCTGGCCATGTCTCCTCCTCCTCAAATTCAGACCATTCCCCAGAGAAGGCGGGGGACCCCTGAGAGCTCCCGCCTGAGGGCAGCCCCACTCCCGGCTGTCCTGCCTGGCTCACAGCCTCCCAGGGCCTTGGGGCCAGGCACAAGGAGGTGGTGGGGAGGGTCAGAGGCTGTGCACACCAACAGGAGGGAAATTGAGGCACGTCTCAGAGGACCTTGTTGCCAGGGCCTGGGAGCCAGGCCTGGAGAATCAGTCTGAGATTGCTGCTGCCACAGGCCCTCCTCTGGGCTGCCATCCTCGGAGCACCGAAGCCACATCCTCTTATTTCTGATGCTTTTGCTCTCTCTCTGCTGCTCTCCTGCTGAGGAAGGGGCTTGGACCATTCCTGCAAATGGCTAAACATGTGGAGGAAGCTGGGAAACTATTGGCTCCCTTTCCCCCTTTCCCAGAGGATCAGCGTGGCCCCTAGGCCTTCCCCGGGAAAGCAGTGCTACCTGGATCTGCTGCCTTCAGCTGCAATGACCTCAGAGTCCACAGTAGCCGTCCAGGCTTCCCCGCCCCAAGGCCTGGACCATGCGTTTGTCCTCAGATGTCTCCTTTTCAGCTGCCCCTCTGGGGGTCCAGCAGTCCAAAGTGTTCTCGGCCTCAAGGCCGTCTGTTACCCTGACAGTTTAGGCCTGAGCAGAGCCCTTCCCAGCCACCAGGAAGGCCCCTCCTGCTGGCAGGTTGTTACAGGGAAATACAGCTGCCTATGAGCCCACACGGGGGCCCCGACCAGGCCAGCAAGGAGGTCCAGCCACGGACTAGGCTCTGGGTGACTGGCTAGCTTGAGAGGTACTGGGTTCCCACTGTCCCCCTGGAGACTTGGGAAACGTCCTCTAGAATGGAGGCAGCCGGGACGGGGCCAGACGGCACCTGGACCTGTCATTCCGGAGTCAGGACATGGAGGGGCCAAGACTCACCCTCCTGCTGGGGACAGATGCCCCAGTCACTGCCCCAACCGTGAACACTTCCAAGGTGTGGTGGCAGCAGCCAGACCGCAGTGCCCATCTGAGGGCCTCAGGAGGCACCGGGTGGGCCCAGCAGCAACCCCCACTCCCCGCCACCCCCCACCCCCACCCCTTCCCCACCAGTTCTTACCCCTGAGCAGCTGCCAGCAGGGGGCAGCCGCCTGACAGCTCTTCCCAAGAGCCCTCTGGCCTCAGCCTCCAAGAAGCCTGCCGCCTCATCCGTGGGACAGTCACACAGAGCCCAAGGCTTCAAGTTAGGCCGGGCCCGGGCAGTGGAGCTGGTGAGCAGGGGCTACACGCACATCCAGCAAACTTGGAGCCTGCAGGCTCCTACAGACATTCCCTCACCCAGCCTGGCCGAGCCTAGAGACCCTTTCCGTGCTGGCCGGGGGACCCCCCCCCCAAAGCAGGAGCCAACAGAGCTCACGCTGGCAGCCAGCCCTGAAAGGCACAGGCCTCCCGAGCTTCAGAATGTCATGGAGGGGCTTCTGAGAGGCATTCTTGCTGGGGTGAGTCCTGGGAGCTCCCCAGGGGGTGCCAGGTGCAAAGGAGTAAGGCGGGCAGCGTTTGGGCACGCCTCCGCCCTGCTTGGACTGCTGGTGAGTGCGCGGCCCCATGGTTTTGCACTTGGCGTGGGGGAGGGGAAAGGTTGCAGGCTCTGTAGCCAGGCTGCTGTGGTTCAAGTCCCCGCCCTCTCACTCTTAAGCTGTGTAACCTTGGGCAAGGCACTAACCTCTCTGTGCCTCAGTTTCCCGATCAGTCAGGCAGAGGGAGAGATTCAGTTCCTCCCGAACGGGTTTAGGGGCAGGTGAGAAAATGGACAGACACAGGCCTCTAGCTCAGAGTCTGAGAACCAGCCTTGAGGTTGTTACCGCAGTCACCCAGAAATCCTGCAAGTGTGAGAAGCTGACTAGTCGGGCACCCAGGCCCAGGCAGAGGGGTGTTTGCTGACTTCAGCAGAGCATGGAAAGCCTTTAGTTATAGTTCACACATCTTTGGCAGAGGGAAGGGGGCGATGAAAAGATCCTATGGTGTGAGAGGCCCCCTCCCCCGGGCCCTGGGGGGCCTGTGACCTCAGGTCTCTAAAGTACCCCGTGGGAGGAACGAGGAGTGTCACTGCTTTGTTTTCATGACTCACCACTCCCTTCCTCTGGCTCCCATGGCAGCAGCTGGTACCCTGCTGGCTTGGACAGCCCCCGTGACCCCTGCGGACCCCCGGGGACACTAGTGTTCCCGGACTCCCTGGCCCAGAAGCCCATCTGTGGCCTGAGCTGGAGCTGCACTGTGTTTCCCTGGAAGAGTGGCAACCCCACCCCCACCCCGAGGCCGGCCCATCACTGGAAGTGGGATTTGAAACGCAGCCAAGGAGAGGAGGCCTTCGGCAACGCCCGGAACGAGAAATAAATAAATAAATACCTAATCAGGGTTGTCTTGGCTGATAAACGGTCTCTACCTCGAGGACGACTTCTCTCCCCGCGCCCCCCTTCCTCCTTCTCCGGGCAGATCCATCCCAGGCAAAAGCTTAATAGCCCCATTTAAGGCTTTTCCTTTTCACCACGGAATTGAGCTGCTCCTGCCATTACGAGGTTTTCAGCTTCTCTCTGAAATCAAATTACTGACTCCATTTAATTTTTTAAAAGCTCAGATGATTTCCCTTCTTGAATCCGAGCCATGACTCCAAGGCCAGCCCCCCGCCCCGCCAGGCGGTTCCCCTGTGGGCAGCTGCTGCCCAGGGATGGCGGCCCCCATGCCAGGGCAAGCCTGACACCTAGAGGGGAAGCCAGTGGGAGGAGGACCAAGCCTCTGGCCGCTGCCCTGGACACCTGGCTGGGCGGCCTGGGCTGATGAGGATCCAAGCCTGGATTCGCTCCCTGGAGTCCATGGCTTCAGGGCTAGAAGGTCTTCAGAGGCTGGTGGGCAAGCGGTTAGAGCCCAGTGCTGATGTCATGGGCTTACTGTTGGCTGGCTCTCCAGATCACTTGCCTTCCCATAGTGCGTACCCTGGACCTCATCACTCATTTATGGACCGCATCTTCTGGGTAGACATCGTTCTAGCTCGGAAGGGAAGGGTGAATGAATCAGAGAAATTTTCACATACACGCGTGTGAAGGGGCAGAGAAACTGACAATAAACCCACGCATGGAAGATTTCAGATAACACCAAGTGCTCCCAAGAGTCCAAAACGCGCAACATGGGTGGGGGCAGGTTGCGGGCTGCTTTGGGTGGGATGGTCGGGGCGGTTCCTCTGAGGAAGTAACTCTGGAAGGAGCTGGGGGGATGTCCAGCAGAGGGACAGCAAGTGCAAGGGTCCTGAGGAGGGCTGGAGGGACAGAAAGATGGCCATCTGGCAGGAGGAAGTGGAGGGGAGGAGTGGGCCTGAGGCAGCCGCCCACCTTTATTCTGGCTTTGAACAGCAGGAACAAGGGACATCGGAGGGACAAGGCACGGGGTGGGAGAAGCGCCATTAGGAGGAGAGGTGACTCAAAGGGCTCTTTGTTGCGGGCTTGTGCCACTCCCACCCTGAATCCAGAGGACTTGGCGGAGGTGGCTGCTGGTGGTGTTTGAGATGCGATATTTTCTACCCCACCACATCGGCTAGCAGTGTTTCTACCAGGAATCAGTCTCTGTCTGTCTGTCTGTCGGTCTCTCCTCTACCTCCATCCACCTCTTCCCCTCTCCATCTCTGCAGAGCTGCTCAGCTTTGGGACCTTGTAGACCAGGGATGCACACACCCCAAAGAGTCCTGCAAACCAGGCTGACCCTTTACCAAGTCCTGCCCATGTTTAACTCCCTGCGCCCTTGGAGATGAGGCAAAGGGAAAGGAGTTAATGAAATCGCCAGCCTTTACCTGGCACAAATGGCTCTTCACCCCCCAGGCGGGCGGCGATTTGCAAGGCTGGAGGGTCTGGGCATTAACTGTTCTGGGCACTCTTCCCAGCTCAGCTGGAACAAACCGCTTTACTTCTCTTGCTTCCCTTCGCGTTGCTCCGCATCGACTCAAAACCCGGACGGTTGTGTTTAATTAGAGAGTGATCAGGCTTCTCCGGAGGTCTCCTGTTCTCCTTCAAGACGGGGTAACCCCAGCTCTGTGACCAGGGCCCCAGTAGCATCTGTGTCTGACCTGCAGCTGTGCATGCATGTGCACAAATGTTTCCCTTACCCTGGGGACCTCCAGTTTTCTGTTGAGACCTCCCTGGTCTTGCAGTCATTTGTTTATGGCTGATGGCTGACGCGTCCGTGATCAGTGAATTGCTGGCAGAGAGCGGCTCTTCCCCTCCTGATCAGCACCCTGCCAAGAGGGATCTCAGACAACCCGGGATTTGGGAAAGTTAGAAACTGGGGGCTCCCTACCCTCAGCAGTCTGGATCCCCATCATTTCCCACACCCCTGACACTTTGTGTAAAGTCCAGGGTCTCTGATACATCTGTTGTCTTTCTCTCCTGTTGCATGAAACAGCCAGTGGTCCAGTTTCCCTTTTGGGTTTTCTTTCTTAAGCACAAAGCCAGTTTTCACGCCCTGAAACCTCCACGCTCGTTGTTTTTCCTTGAAGTTCTCAAATTTCCAGATTTTAGATGCTTCCCACGTCAGATTTCCTCCTTCACGACGCGCTCCTTCAGCCTTAGCTGCAAGTCTCTGTTGGGTATTTGAATATTACTTAAACTGAAATTGGAGTCATCAATTTAGTATTCCTCCAAATTACTGCATAACCAGAGAGGCAGCGTGGTGGGACAAGCTTTCTTCTGGGTGTCCTGCCTGAGCTGTGTGACCTTGAGCAAGTCAGTTCACTTCTCTGAGCTCCTGCTTCAGCATGGGGCTGTTTGGAAACAGGAGCCGGTGGCCAGGGGACCTCTTTTCTAGGGTGACCTGGTGGTCAGCCCATGAAGATAGCAACTCAAGAGTCTCTAACACAGCTCCGAGAGAACCCCTCACCCCTGAGGGTCCATCCTCCCCAGCTCTGCCCACCTCCCGACACTTCTGCTGTTCACAGGTCTGGTCTCTGGGGGTGGAGGCTGCCTGAGACATCAGGCCAAGCCAGTGGGGGGACAAGATGGGGTGATGTGGACCGAGGCCTTTTCCCATGTAGTTGGCAACAGCTCAGCCCCAACTTGCTCCACAGGTGACCTCCCACCTGTCCCTCATTCCTCTCCCAAGGCCCAGGCCAAGTCGTCCCACATCCCAGATCTCAGAACAGTGGTTCTCAAAGTGGGGTCCCCGGACCAACCAGCGGCATCGGCATCACCTGAGAACTCATTAGAGATGCAAATTCTTGGGCTCCATCCAGGACCTACAGATCCAGAAACTCAGGGGGTGGGGCCCAGCATCCTGTGTTTTAACAAGTCCTCCAGGTGATTCCGATGCACATGGCAGTTGAGGACCACTCACTGCCTGGGAGAATCTGTGCCAGGGGCACCCCCCGAAGCCAGAGAACTCTTCTGCCTCCTTCAGAATAGCAATATTTGCACTTGTACAGCGTCCAGGTACTCTCCCCCTCCCTCTGCTCACTGCATCTAGCACCCCCACTCTGAGGAAGAGAGGAAGTGTTCTCCCCACTTTACAGACCAGGAAACTTGGCCTTGCCCAAGGCCATGCAGCTAATAGAAGGCAGAATCAGGGATTAAACCCTGATCACCTGTTCCAAGGCCAGAGCTCCCTCCTGGGCACCTTGGGTTTCTGGGGATGCTTAGACCAAAGGAATAAACACATGTCCACCAGCCAGAAAGGAAGTTCTCCATTCCAGCCCCCTCCCCCCAATTTCCAGTTGCAATCCCAGGAGAAAGCATCCAGGAAACATAAATTTTGCCCGGCGGCTGACTAAGAGCTCTGAAAGGAGTTACACGTCAGGAAGATGGGACTTTATTTCTCAATGAAATAGCCTTTTTATGGTTGGAATAAAAGTGCCAGCGGGAGCCTAATGCCAGGAAGTAGCGAGCACATTTGATAAACTCCTTCAGCCAGGGGTGGGGCTGCCCAGGAGCGGGTGGCTGGAGAGCAGGTCCGTGTTTCCAGACACA